TTGCACGTGTTCGAGCACAATGTCTTTCGCGTCCTCGAGAAATTGTCGCAGTTCGATATAGTATGCGTTATTCACCGCACCGGTCAGTATACGGTTTTCAAACGCGGTATCGATCTCTCGCCAAACAAGCCTTTCCGCGTTATTCCCACCACTGTAATCACCACCGCTATGTATAAACTGTCTCTCTAATCGAGTCTTCGCACCCCCGAGTCGCGCGATTCTAGCTATCAAAGATTGTCGAACTCCGTTCGAGAGCCGCGGACGCTTGGCACTACTGCGTTCCTCGAGCTGTTTGATAAATTCTTCGCATCGCTGAGCCCACGCGAAATACTCGCCCAAGGTAGCGACTCGGTGCGATAGCTCTAACAGGTCGCGTTCGGTTTGTTCGGTGTTTTCCATGTTTTTTTATTATTATTTTTTTCATTTTGTGCAGATTATCACAAAATCTTCCTCTACCGAACACTTGACACACACAAAAAAATACAAGTACCCGCTGTACCTTTTTCAACCGATATACAGACCGCAAGGTTTCAAATCGCATACTGTGTTTTTGACACCCTTTGTTCTTCATTATTTATTTTTCATCTATCGCGTTATGGTACCGCGATGGTTCTGGGTCTAACGATACGCATCGCGGATCAAGACGGACGATTGCTCGATTTTCGAGGAGAAGAGGTCACCATCAGATTGCACGTACGACGGCGACAAAATTAGCGTGCGATACATGAGATGCTCGTGTTGAGCGGAGCGAAAGACGCGAGAGATAACGCGAGGCCAGGACAACAACGTCAACATTTGCTAATATCCAATTATCCGGTACCAAGAAAAAGAAACTCAACGCGTCGAACGTTGAATTTTTACAATCTTTGGGATTCGCGGTGCGAAAATCACTTAAGTGTGTGGGATGAGATGATATAAAACCAATAATGCATCAGGATCAATCGCGGTCTTCTTCTTCTTCTCGACGTGCTGATATAAAAAGAAAAATGTTATGTCCGTACCAACGTTCGTGGACCTACAAGGATTCTTCGTCGGGATGAAATTTGTCGTAAAGGAGGTGGCGGTGCTGAGAAAGGGGACCGTTCTGGCGCATTACATTTTTACATACCCCCTACCATGGAATCTCCTCACAAAATCCGACAAATCATGCGCTTCCTGGCTGATCGCGAATCACCACGGATTACGATGGGAAGACGGAAACGTGCCGCACGGCATGGCTAAACGCTTGATTACATCAGCCGTGCTTGGTACGGAAGAGGATGACGAGACGTCGACTCTCGTGTACGTCATTTATAAATAAAATCTGTAAACGTATTTAATGTTTTTTATTTCTTATTCTCCCCACTCCTTTCCTCGCGAGTCGTTTCTAAGAATTCTTTTTAACATTGACCGTTTCCCCTTCTCCTAAATGTTCAGAGCATTGATCTCCCACCACATCATACTTTTGAAAAATAAGCGTCACGTATATTCGGTTAATTTTTATACGATCAGTGTCGTGTCAACTGCTAGTACGAACGGTCCACTTCTCATAACCGAGAGACAAAATGTACTCCGCTGAAGGAAGCACCAGCAACGGTTGCAAACGCGTGAATTACTACGTTCCACGAGACGAAATTAAGCCGTGCAAGAAACCACGAGATGAAATTAAACCGTACAAGAAACCACTTGATTTGTAAGTATCACAAATGTTCCATTCATACATATATATATTTTTCATATCTGTTTTTTCCATGCTATTTTATATCTTTTGTATTTTTCAGATGCGATAAACCTCGTTGTATACCACGTATTTTGGTACGCAGATTTGCTTTGACGCGTACTGCTTATAAATACTTGGATATTGGAATCAGCGTTGGAATAACATCTTACGTGAAATTGCATCTCGGCGATAACCGAGGCAATCAAATCGTATTATCTATCGACACATGGGAATCGCTAATGATGAAACGTGCGGACGTTGAACGACTTGTGCAAACGCCCGATCATACACCAATATGGGTTAACGATTTAACAATTGAGATTGTTAAAATAAGTGATTCGAGTGTTGTCAAACTTACGTTGCGCGATTCTTGCTTGTACATGAAACCGTCAACTATATTTTTCTTATTCGAACTCGAACACTGTGTTAATCACGAATATTTGAAGCTGTGCGAGAATTTAGAAGCCGTAAATGAGAGTTTCGATCAATTTGTTCGGAGTTTGCAAAGTAATATGTTTGGCGCCGAGAGAGATTCTGCGGTCAAAATCTTGCGCGAAGTCTATGATAAAACATCTATCATAGATTGCGAACTATTAGCTTATGCTGTGGATGAACTTTTGTCTGAAACCTTGAGACGAGGTGATGTATGGTAATATAAATAAATGTGTTAAAAAATGAAAAAAAATGAACAAAATGATTATTTCGCTACCCTTCCTCGCATATAAGATAGATATGTAACTGCGGCGCGACCGGGTGGGAGAAAGATATCGCGAGGCGTTCGCGAGTAGGAAAAGGATAGCATTCTATGGTTGTGGGAGAAGAATAGCGCGAGGTGTTCGCGAGTAGGAAAAGGGTTCTATTTTGTTTATAATAAATTATAGCAGCCGGACATCGGCGCTAGCCTTATCATCTTTCTACGAAATTCAATAATGCCGCACGTGCAATAGTGCGAGACGATATTTGTTTATAATGTTTATAAATTCGAGCAGCCGGACATCGGCACTCGCCCTTTGTAATACACCGCGCTGTTTATGCTCCCGCGATAAGCTCCCCCGCCCGCGTGACGTCATTCCCCCGCGCC